ATGCACGCAATAAATCACAGCGATTCACAATCTCGATAACTTCGCTCTCTACGAGTGCAAAACACATACTAGTCCGAAACTCACCGTGACTACTGTTCGCTTTATCATACATTCATTTCCGCTGGCTTTTCTCGCCAGGTTTATATACTAACAAAGCGACTTCGCCAAAATTCGAGAAACTCAGTCACGCATGCGCTAGCAGCGTCACGTGACTTCCGCTGTCGTAACAATAGTTTTATGTACGAAATTTATGATGCCATTCCTCTTAGTGCACACGTGATACCTACGTCACACCATTGGTATTTATTCCAACAGAAAAATAAATGATATATATCCTCCAGATATCACTTCACCCACCAGCAGATAATATCACTGAACACTTTAACCTTATTTTCCTTTAAAGCAGTCTTCCTACGAGAAAGAACATGTGACACTGTAGAATTGCACAGATCATAAATGTTGCTTGATAGAGGAATTTAGCTACATTCTTTTCACCAATATTCTATTGTTAAATCAACACATACGTGATTGTGCGAATAATTGTTGAAAATTCTCATTAAGTATGAAATGTTCACTTTATTAACTAAAGGAGGGAGAAAATACTATTTTTTTTCTAAACCATTTAACTAACCATAACTTCATTCAACATTACACTAGGTTTAAATTGTAACGTATATAGTATCTTTTAAATATCAAGTTATAAATAATATAATTCATTTCCTTACAATCCGTAGTAAAGACGAAAGTGACAAAACTGTTCAGCCACACCACACCATCTTGATGAAATCCAGTTTTATCAGCATGCACATTATAGCTACCTTTCGTATTTTCACAAGTTGAAATATATATTTCCTGGGTGAAATCATGTATGACACTTTTATTTTTCACAAGCACAAGAGCTTTTCAACTACCAATTCTTCGGGATATGCCAAAATGTTTGGTTGTACTACACCCTATTCACTAGTTGAAGATTTATTGCCAATAACTCCTGATGTGACCGTTTCACTTTCTGGTGGTACAGTAGCTACCCTCCCTGTTGTCACTGGAAGTTCAACCTATGGTGCAGTAAATGCCATGTGGTAGACTGGAATTTTTTGGTGATGTCACTTTCCAATATGCATTCTTCTTCAATGTCAATTACCTTCAAATCATGAGGTACAGAGAAACTTCCTACTGAAGGTAACTTCCAACTTTATTTTTATCTACCGTTTGCATCAATCCATTTTCTTTCTTCATCTCTGGAGGCAATTTCCAAGTTGTAATTTCAAAATCAGGTCGAACAATTGTAGTTGTGGAACCAGTGTCAGCAAGCATACTACATAGTTTTCCAAGCATATGAACTTGTAAACGATTTCCCTTAAGTAATGAAATTCTTTTCTCATTTGGGGTAGATGTAGAAATTCAAGCTGATCTTCGCCCCATAACTCCAGCTAGTTTCCGTCTTTTTTTATGTCTTGCTAGCTTTTTGTTGTTCCTTTGATCTGAATGTATCTTCTTCTTGGTTTAACAACAGTTGTTGATTACTTACAGTATTGGCGATGTTTCCCACAATTAAAACAGTCTCTTTCTAGAATTCACAGGGAGCAGCTCTTATTCCATACTGGTTTTAATCTATATCTCCTTGAAATACGTTCCTTAAAGTTACACTTGAAGTATCTATTTTCTTGTGGTTTATTTCTTCCATTCTTCGTAACTAGATATCCGATTACTTCTTTCAGTTTTTCTGAACTACAGCTAGGAGGTTTTGATGTTTCAATAATACAGGATCCGATATTTTCATACCTTTTAGATGGTTCCTTAGTAGTTTATCTGTAACTTTAATATATTCAAATTAAATCACCATCTAGAGAGCATCATTTAAAGATGTACAGCTTAATTTTCATATCCCACTTTGTACAGCATTTATAAATTATCACGTGCCAAAAAATCCATCATTTCATGAGAAACATGTAGGTAAGATAGTTGGGCAAGTCTTTCTAAATCTTCTGAAAGTTCAGCTGAGTTCTCTTCTTTCCACCTTACCCTGCTCTGGATACTTCCTTTTAGTGCATCATTCCAAATTTGTTGGATAAAGCAGCTACCAATATTTGATAGTTGTTATAGCTCTCAGCTGGAAGATTACTTAATGTTGTCAATTATTTTAATTAATGGGCTGCAGGATGAATAGATTGTTGTTCACTGGCTAAAGAAAGTGCACTAGAATTCAACAGGTAAATTCATTTTCTAAGTCCAGTTGACAACGTCATCTTGTGACCTTTCTTCTCTCACAACATTGGTCGCTGTTAGATTCAGTCAATGTCGTAATTGGCCAGCAAAGGATTATAATATGAATCCTTTTACCTTAGATGCTACATATTATTGCAGTGTCTTCTGAGGCAGAAGAGGCATCACTTAATAGAAAGAAATGAAGCAACTAGAACAAGGTAATCTTAACGAATTTCTTGGCCACATGTTGCCACCATTACAGCATAGAAAATAAATAGCCAAAAAATATTTAAAAATCTCTGTATCACTAAATCAGGTAGAAAACATAAAAAATGCCTAGTATCACTATATATATATATATATATATATATATATATATATTATATTATTATTAATTAATTAATTAATTAATAATATACTATTATTACTTACTAGTACTAAGTAAGTACTATATACTACGTAGTACGTATATACTACGTA